CTTGAAATTACATGTTCCTTTGAGATGGGCAGAAAGAAGACCAGCTTAGGGAACGCAATCGACACTACAGAAAGAAAAATCAACGGAAATGCATAAGCAAACACGGCTGTCCCAACAAAGAAAAATAATTTAAACTCGAGAAATTGGAGAAGCAGAGCGTGAAGAATCATGTAGTGGACATGTTATACTCGCTACTCCTAGCAACAGGCTGCTAGACCAAGGTTTCACACGTCAAGCCTGGCTCCAGGCCGGGCTTGGAGAAGAGAAGGGAACTATGAGGAGAAAGCACCAAGCCATTAAGACTATAAGTTTTAATGGGTTGGGAAGCAGAAGAACTCACAAAAACCCCCTTATAAGTTCAATAATAACCAAAGGACTAGATTACACAAGAATGGAGGCGTATATGCATGTAACGAAAAGCTGCATCAGCTCCCATTACAAAGAGAAAAGGTAACCTTAGATGAGAGACTGACAAATACTGAATTAACGGCAGAGGAAATGAGACAATTGGCATCATTTAGATGAAAATAAAGCTACGGAACAAGATAATATTTCACCGTGGATGTTGAAAGAAGCTGTACAGGTCCTCAGTATACCCCCTAGTTCTGGTCCTGGATAAGTCATTTGAGAACTGAGTTTTGATCAGCAGCTGGAAGATCGCAAATGTCCTGCCAACATGAGATAAAGAGATAAGGAAGAGGAGGAAGCACTAATAGACAGACCATTATCACTGACAAACATCCCAGAATGTTATAAGAAAGGATATTAAGGATTAGACTAGAGTTAAACACCTAGAGTGGATCAGGTATGTAAATATACGACTTCAGGGAAGAGAAAAAATGCCTAATAAAGCTACTGGAGTTCTATGACAAAGAAACAACAATTAGACATGACAGAAGACTTACACATAGTTCCACACAAGAGATTACTACATAAAATTAAGGGGCTTGCCAGAGTAAGTGGAGGTACCCTGACATAGATAAGTGAGTACCAAACAGACTGGAATCAGAAAGTTACAGGCGTAAAATCGGATTGGCATAGAATAAGCAGAATACGTCAGCTAGGGATCGGTTATGGGACCCATATTATTTTTAATTTATGTTAATAACCTAACCACAGGAGTTGAATCCTGCATATCGATTTGTTTTTCTCTAATATAGATTGGTACAGTATCAGATGGTTTTAAACTTCTAGAAGAAAAGGGATGGAAGTATGAAAGAAAACGGAAAGAACTAGACCTGACGTAACTGCAAAAAAAAAAAGGAGAAAGAAATAGGTGGCTTGATAGACATAAAATATGTATTGGATTTGACGACGTGGAAAAAAAAGATGTTCAAAATGAGTACCATTAGATCAAGAGGGCATGAATGGAAGCTTGCAAACCAGATGATTCAAAGAAATGCCAACAGGTTTTCTTTTAGCATAAGAATGGTGGGAACCTAGACGAACTAAATGAGAAAATTGTAGTAATGAACTCCACTTTTAATTTCAAAAGTATATATGGTAGAGGAACTAGGAGTCTTGTTCTAGACTTCTAAACTCTAGTCTCTATACTTCTAAACAGCTAGAAAGGCGGAATCCAAGAACTAAGGCTCGATCCTGCCGGCACCAAATAGCCGAGCACAACCAGCGATACTCTACAGTGGAAGCCAACGTGACAAAAGAGTAACCTTGGGTGTTCTTGTTCATGTTGATCACATTAATTAACCATCGTTGGTAGTGGACAGTGTGAGAGAAGCCTCGTTCACTGTTGCAACATGAGGGAACTCACAGCCAGGGGGGGCGGGGGGGGGGGGGTGAGAGAAGCCTCGTTCACTGTTGCAACATGAGGGAACTCACAGCCAGGGGGGGGGGGGGGGGGTGAGAGAAGCCTCGTTCACTGTTGCAACATGAGGGAACTCACAGCCAGGGTGGGCGGGGGGGGTGAGAGAAGCCTCGTTCACTGTTGCAACATGAGTGAACTCACAGCCAGGGGGGAGGGGGGGGGGGCCTCGTTAACGTTCATAAATACGTGAAAAATGTTGCACTTTCAATAACACGACAGAAATATTTAACAGACATTTTTCAGAAATAGTTTTGGTAATTATGTCGGCCAAGGCTGTTGGTCACCCCTTCTTTAAGCCAGTATTTATAAACATACAAACGAGGAAATAGCAATCTTCCCAAAATGCTCTCCTAGAGGTGAGAGTCTCATATATAAAGTATAGATGTCCACCCATATTAACACCGGCCGATAAGAGCGTTCAACCCCCACAGAGCCATATATATCCGTTCAGTTCGCAAGCACTCCAGGTAAACAAGATGGGTATTGACTCATTTTCCCAGGGGAGGAGTCCGCGATTCCTTCCCCCCCCCCAACCCCCCTGATTATCGCGGTCAGGGGAACGGAAACCCCCCCACTTGTGGAGGTGACATTCCCTGAGGCACCACGAGGGAGCTACGGGAGCTCTCAATTAACCCGTCTACGGCCTTCCCATTAGTTTTCCCCTGTCTCCTGCTTATTGATGCCATTTCCCCGCTCACATTATCTACCTAGGTATAGGTGCTGTGGCAGTACTATACAGTACTACGTACAGTACATCTACGTCTAGGTAGATGCTGTACGTAGCTGTAACCAACGACAATAGTTTAGTGTGCCAGCAGGTACATAACGACAAGGTCTTCTGTTATGTATGATATGTACACCAATGTGATCTCTCCTGTAGAGGCCTGTCAGCTGAGTGGACAGTACTCGGGATTCGTAGTCCTGAGGTTCCGGGTTCGATCCCCGGGGGAGGCGGAAACAAATGGGCAGAGCTTCTTTAACCCTGTTGCCTCTGTTCACCTAGTAATAAATAAGTACCTGGGAGTTAGATAGTTGCTACGGGCTGCTTCCTGGGAGGGGTGGGGGGGGGGTGGGGGGTAACAATAAGGAAGCCTGGTCGAGGACCGGGCCGTGGGGGACGCTAAGCCCCGAAATCATCTCAAGATAACCTCAAGATAATCTCCTGTGGCCAAGACCATCTTTGGCATCTTCCATTACTGTGACTTGCGTCTGTGGAGTTTTTTTTTTTTTTGGTGGGGAGGGGGTTCTGTTTTTGTACCAGAGTCTGCCCCCGTCTGTGTCTGCCCCCGTCTGTGTCTGGCACCCCCCCGTCTGTGTCTGCCCCCCTCCGTCTGTGTCTGCCCCCCCCGTCTGTGTCTGCCCCCCCCCCGTCTGTGTCTGCCCCCCCATCTGTGTCTGCCCCCCCGTCTGTGTCTGCCCCCCCCCCGTCTGTGTCTGCCCCCCCCCCTGTGTCTGCCCCCCCCGTCTGTGTCTGCCCCCCTCCGTCTGTGTCTGCCCCCCTCCGTCTGTGTCTGCCCCCCCCACCCGTCTGTGCCTGCCCCCCGTCTGTGTCTGCCCCCCCCCCGTCTGTGTCTGCCCCCCCCGTCTGTGTCTGCCCCCCCCGTCTGTGTCTGCCCCCCCCCCGTCTGTGTCTGCCCCCCTCCGTCTGTGTCTGCCCCCCCTCCGTCTGTGTCTGCCCCCCCCCCCCCCCCGTCTGTGTCTGCCCCCCCGTCTGTGTCTGCCCCCCCCCGTCTGTGTCTGCCCCCCCGTCTGTGTCTGCCCCCCCCGTCTGTGTCTGCCCCCCCCCCGTCTGTGTCTGCCCCCCCCCCCCCCCGTCTGTGTCTGCCCCCCCCCCCCCCGTCTGTGTCTGCCCCCCCCCCGTCTGTGTCTGCCCCCCCCGTCTGTGTCTGCCCCCCTCCGTCTGTGTCTGCCCCCCTCCGTCTGTGTCTGCCCCCCCCCACCCGTCTGTGCCTGCCCCCCCGTCTGTGTCTGCCCCCCCGTCTGTGTCTGCCCCCCCGTCTGTGTCTGCCCCCCCCCCCCCCGTCTGTGTCTGCCCCCCCGTCTGTGTCTGCCCCCCCCCCCCCCCCCCGTCTGTGTCTGGCCCCCCCCGTCTGTGTCTGGCCCCCCCGTCTGTGTCTGCCCCCCCCCGTCTGTGTCTGGCCCCCCCCGTCTGTGTCTGCCCCCGTGTCAGGGCACCCGTCTGTGTCTGGCCCCCCCGTCTGTGTCTGGCCCCCCCCCCGTCTGTGTCAGGGCCCCCGTCTGTGTCTGCCCCCCCCCGTCTGTGTCTGGCCCCCCCCGTCTGTGTCTGGCCCCCCCGTCTGTGTCTGCCCCCCCCCGTCTGTGTCTGGCCCCCCCGTCTGTGTCTGCCCCCCCCCGTCTGTGTCTGGCCCCCCCGTCTGTGTCTGCCCCCCCCCCCCCGTCTGTGTCTGGCCCCCCCCCCCGTCTGTGTCTGCCCCCCCCCCCGTCTGTGTCAGGGCACCCGTCTGTGTCTGGCCCCCCCGTCTGTGTCTGGCCCCCCCCCCGTCTGTGTCAGGGCCCCCGTCTGTGTCTGCCCCCCCCCGTCTGTGTCTGCCCCCCCCCCGTCTGTGTCTGGCCCCCCCCCGTCTGTGTCTGGCCCCCCCCCTGTGTCTGCCCCCCCCCCGTCTGTGTCTGGCCCCCCCCCGTCTGTGTCTGCCCCCCCCCGTCTGTGTCAGGGCACCCGTCTGTGTCTGCCCCCCCCCCGTCTGTGTCTGCCCCCCCCCCGTCTGTGTCTGGCCCCCCCCCCGTCTGTGTCTGCCCCCCCCCCCCCCCCCCCCGTCTGTGTGGCAGACACGACTTGTCAATTTGTCGACAAGTCAGGTAGTCAATTACTGCTGGGCGAACAGAGGCGAACAGTTCAAGATTGGCGCCTAGACATTCCTCCCCGGCCAGGACTCGAACCAAGAGACGTCTCTGAAACGTCTGTTTCTCTCCCTCTCCTCTCTCTCTCTCTCTCTTCCCTCCTCTTTCTCTCTCATAGTCACCCTCACTACACATTTACCTTCCACCACGAACGAAAAACTTATCCCCCCATGTAAACAGCCTCGCATCGTGTCTCAGGCTCCCGACACTTCCTGCACTCTACCTCATCTTCTCAGTATGCTGGAGGGGAAGGGAAGGGGAGGGAAGGGGAGGTTAGGGAAGGGAAAGGGGGAAAATGCGTCAGATAATTTCACCCTTAGGGCGTTGCCAGCGTAATTAACTGATCGTTCCTCGCATTATATTTCTTTAACATAGGGAAAGAGAGAGTGGGATATCGGAGGTCAACAGGCAGTGGTCGATCAGGAGGCGGTGGTCGATCAGGAGGCGGTGGTCGATCAAGAGTCAGTGGTCGGTCAAGAGTCGGTGGTCGGTCAAGAGGCGGTGGTCGGTCAAGAGGCGGTGGTCGGTCAAGAGGCGGTGGTCGGTCAAGAGGCGGTGGTCGGTCAAGAGGCGGTGGTCGGTCAAGAGGCGGTGGTCGATCAAGAGGCGGTGGTCGATCAAGAGGCGGTGGTCGATCAAGAGGCGGTGGTCGGTCAAGAGGCGGTGGTCGGTCAAGAGGCGGTGGTCGATCAAGAGGCGGTGGTCGGTCAGGAGGCGGTGGTCGATCAAGAGGCGGTGGTCGATCAAGAGGCGGTGGTCGATCAAGAGGCGGTGCATGGTCCATCAAGAGGCAGTGGTCGATCAAGGAAAATCAAGAAGTGAAGATTCAAGAAGCAAGATCAGTCATTAAGAGAGCATTTCACTCAAGAGGTAAATGTCCGCGCCAATTCGAAGATCCGACTGAACGAAAAGCGGAATTAGCGAATAGTTTCGACTACGGGAACAGTATAAGTGTTACGAAATGAAGTGAATATTATGCAATGATTAGTGAAAACTGCGACTTACAATACGAGATATTATTAGATTAGAAGCTAAACATTTCGTTACAGGGAAAGCAAAAATATCGTTCAATACCCACCAATGCCCACTACAGGGCCTGCCAACTGAGTGGACAGCGCTTCGGATTCGCAGGTTCCGGGTTCGATCCCCAGTGGAGGTGTAAACAAATGGACACAGTTTCTTCCACCCTGATCCCCCTGTTACCAAGCTGTAAATAGGTACCTGGGAGTTAGACAGCTGCTACGGGCTGCCTCCTGGGTGTAACAAAAAAGGAGGCCTGGTCGAAGACCGGGCCGCGAGGACGCTTAGCCCCGAAATCGTCTCAAGATAACCTCAAGATAACCAATGAATGACTTATATTTCCCGCCCACACTGTCAACAGCTTGCCAATCATGCTTACCAAAATATCGCGTCTAAATGGCGATATAAATCTAAATTCAAAATCTAAATTGCAATTAGTTCTCGGTTCTGTTATAATGATGTCATGAGTCAAGGTCGGTCGAGATACGCCTGTCTGTCTCCCTCAAAACTATTGCATCTATAGTGACTATATATATCTCTTAATGAAATGGTTTTCGGTTTTCAGTGCGGGGATGGAATTGCATTGTTCATTTATTTTGGTTGGTTAACCGGAGACTCCAACACAGGCATACCTGGTGCACGACGTTAACGATTAGTGTACGACGTTAACGATTAGTGCACGACGTTAACGATTAGTGTACGACGTTAACGATTAGTGCACGCCAGGCAGCGGACCTGAGCGACCAGACCACGCCAGGCAGCGGACCTGAACGACCAGACCACGCCATGCAGCAGCGGACCTGAACGACCAGACCACGCCTTGCAGCGGACCTGAACGACCAGACCACACCACGCAGCGGACCTGAACGACCAGACCACACCACGCAGCGGACCTGAACGACCAGACCACACCAGGCAGCAGCGGACCTGAACGACCAGACCACACCAGGCAGCAGCGGACCTGAACGACCAGACCACACCAGGCAGCAGCGGACCTGAACGACCAGTCCACGCCAGGCAGCAGTAGACCTGAACGACCAGACCACACCAGGCAGCGGACCTGAGCGACCAGACCACGCCAGGCAGCGGACCTGAGCGACCAGACCACGCCAGGCAGCGGACCTGAGCGACCACACCACACCAGGCAGCAGCGGACCTGAACGACCAGACCACACCAGGCAGCAGCGGACATGAACGACCAGACCACACCAGGCAGCGGACCTGAACGACCAGACCACCCCAGGCAGCAGCGGACCTGAACGACCAGACCACACCAGGCAGCGGACCTGAACGACCAGACCACACCAGGAAGCAGCGGACCTGAACGACCAGTCCACGCCATGCAGCGGACCTGAACGACCAAACCACGCCAGGCAGTGGACCTGAACGACCAGACTACGCCAGGCAGAGGACCTGAACGACCAGTCCACGCCATGCAGCGGACCTGAACGACCAGACCACACCAGGCAGCGGACCTGAACGACCAGACCACACCAGGCAGCAGCGGACCTGAACGACCAGTCCACGCCAGGCAGCAGCGGACCTGAACGACCAGTCCACGCCACGCAGCGGACCTGAACGACCAGACCACGCCAGGCAGCAGCGGACCTGAACGACCAGACCACACCAGGCAGCGGACATGAACGACCAGACCACACCAGGCAGCGGACCTGAACGACCAGACCACCCCAGGCAGCAGCGGACCTGAACGACCAGACCACACCAGGCAGCAGCGGACCTGAACGACCAGACCACACCAGGCAGCGGACATGAACGACCAGACCACACCAGGCAGCGGACCTGAACGACCAGACCACCCCAGGCAGCAGCGGACCTGAACGACCAGACCACACCAGGCAGCGGACCTGAACGACCAGACCACACCAGGCAGCAGCGGACCTGAACGACCAGTCCACGCCATGCAGCGGACCTGAACGACCAAACCACGCCAGGCAGTGGACCTGAACGACCAGACTACGCCAGGCAGCGGACCTGAACGACCAGTCCACGCCATGCAGCGGACCTGAACGACCAGACCACACCAGGCAGCGGACCTGAACGACCAGACCACACCAGGCAGCAGCGGACCTGAACGACCAGTCCACGCCAGGCAGCAGCGGACCTGAACGACCAGTCCACGCCATGCAGCGGACCTGAACGACCAGACCACGCCAGGCAGCAGCGGACCTGAACGACCAGACCACACCAGGCAGCGGACATGAACGACCAGACCACACCACGCAGCGGACCTGAACGACCAGACCACCCCAGGCAGCAGCGGACCTGAACGACCAGACCACACCAGGCAGCGGACCTGAACGACCAGACCACACCAGGCAGCAGCGGACCTGAACGACCAGTCCACGCCATGCAGCGGACCTGAACGACCAGACCACGCCAGGCAGTGGACCTGAACGACCAGACTACGCCAGGCAGCGGACCTGAACGACCAGTCCACGCCATGCAGCGGACCTGAACGACCAGACCACACCAGGCAGCGGACCTGAACGACCAGACCACACCAGGCAGCAGCGGACCTGAACGACCAGTCCACGCCTTGCAGCAGCGGACCTGAACGACCAGACCACACCAGGCAGCGGACCTGAACGACCAGACCACGCCAGGCAGCGGACCTGAACGACCAGACCACGCCAGGCAGCAGCGGACCTGAACGACCAGTCCACGCCATGCAGCGGACCTGAACGACCAGACCACGCCAGGCAGCGGACCTGAACGACCAGACCACGCCAGGCAGCAGCGGACCTGAACGACCAGTCCACGCCATGCAGCGGACCTGAACGACCAGACCACGCCTTGCAGCAGCGGACCTGAACGACCAGACCACACCAGGCAGCGGACCTGAACGACCAGACCACGCCAGGCAGCGGACCTGAACGACCAGACCACGCCAGGCAGCGGACCTGAACGACCAGACCACGCCAGGCAGCAGCGGACCTGAACGACCAGACCACGCCATACAGCGGACATGAACGACCAGACCACGCCATACAGCGGACCTGAACGACCAGACCACACCAGGCAGCAGCGGACCTGAACGACCAGACCACACCAGGCAGCAGCGGACCTGAACGACCAGACCACACCAGGCAGCGGACCTGAACGACCAGACCACGCCATGCAGCGGACCTGAACGACCAGACCACACCACGCAGCGGCCCCTGACGTGGATGGAGAGGGAGAGCATCATATCCTTCCCACCCGTAGTGATGCTGTGAGCATCATCCGCAGATCAGCACTCTGAGAACGCCGAGAGCGCCCTCGGGCCCAGGGTTCGTCCCCCGTGACGGGTACCCTGGCTCACAGACGGCACAGTGGCCCTGTGAGAGATCTGGTGGGAATGTCAATTGCAAAGCAATTTGAGTCGATGAAGGTCAAGGATATATAGTAGCCGAGATGTATTCACCAGGTAGCTCGCTGTTCGGCTGCTCTCCCGCCTCCCAGCAAGCAGTGTACTCCCAGCAAGCAGTGTACTCCCAGCAAGCAGTGTACTCCCAGCAAGCAGTGTACTCCCAGACCCCCAGCAAGCAGTGTACTCCCAGACCCCCAGCAAGCAGTGTACTCCCAGACCCCCAGCAAGCAGTGTACTCCCAGACCCCCAGCAAGCAGTGTACACCCAGACCCCCAGCAAGCAGTGTACTCCCAGACCCCCAGCAAGCAGTGTACTCCCAGGCTCCCAGCAGTGTACTCCCAGACCCCCAGCAAGCAGTGTGCTCCCAGGCTCCCAGCAAGCAGTGTACTCCCAGACCCCCAGCAAGCAGTGTACTCCCAGACCCCCAGCAAGCAGTGTACTCCCAGGCCCCCAGCAAGCAGTGTACTCCCAGACCCCCAGCAAGCAGTGTACTCCCAGACCCCCAGCAAGCAATGTACTCCCAGACCCCCAGCAAGCAGTGTACTCCCAGACCCCCAGCAAGCAGTGTACTCCCAGACCCCCAGCAAGCAGTGTACTCCCAGACCCCCAGCAAGCAGTGTACACCCAGACCCCCAGCAAGCAGTGTACTCCCAGACCCCCAGCAAGCAGTGTACTCCCAGACCCCCAGCAAGCAGTGTACTCCCAGGCTCCCAGCAGTGTACTCCCAGACCCCCAGCAAGCAGTGTGCTCCCAGGCTCCCAGCAAGCAGTGTACTCCCAGGCTCCCAGCAGTGTACTCCCAGACCCCCAGCAAGCAGTGTACTCAAGGCTCCCAGCAAGCAGTGTACTCCCAGACCCCCAGCAAGCAGTGTACTCCCAGACCCCCAGCAAGCAGTGTACTCCCAGACCCTCAGCAAGCAGTGTACTCCCAGACCCCCAGCAAGCAGTGTACTCCCAGACCCCCAGCAAGCAGTGTACTCCCAGACCCCCAGCAAGCAGTGTACTCCCAGACCCCCAGCAGTGTACTCCCAGACCCCCAGCAAGCAGTGTACTCCCAGACCCCCAGCAAGCAGTGTACTCCCAGACCCCAGCAAGCAGTGTGCTCCCAGGCTCCCAGCAAACAGTGTACTCCCAGACCCCCAGCAAACAGTGTACTCCCAGACCCCCAGCAAGCAGTGTACTCCCAGACCCCCAGCAAGCAGTGTACTCCCAGGCCCCCAGCAAGCAGTGTACTCCCAGGCTCCCAGCAAGCAGTGTACTCCCAGGCCCCCAGCAAGCAGTGTACTCCCAGGCCCCCAGCAAGCAGTGTACTCCCAGGCCCCAGCAAGCAGTGTACTCCCAGGCCCCCAGCAAGCAGTGTACTCCCAGGCCCCCAGCAAGCAGTGTACTCCCAGG